TATAAGAAAAACAATCCCTAGTATTTCATAATAACAATACAAAAAAAATATAAGGAAAATGGGATAACAAAACAAACACTTCAATTATCTCAAGCTCTACCGCATTACAGATTTCCTATGTATATCTACACAGACAATATACATAGAATCGCCACATAATGGCATACTACACATAGTACCCAGTTTCTATAACTGCAGATCAAAATATATCCAAATTATAAAGTCATTTAAGCTGTACTAGTGCAAGCAACACAAGGAAAACATCTTTAAACGAAAGTACATATTTGTTATATCAGAATATAGATCACACTGATCATATTTGTACTTTGTGCAACACATAATAAATGTAATGCAACACTGATATATCTTTCTGTGTTTTTACTTCAAGATTCTATGAACAGGATCTGGGTGGAGACTTTATCATCTCGTCTTCTCTAGTTTGCTGAGGAGTTGTCTCCCCTGGACTACTATTGTCATTTTCGCAACTTGCCAATTTTAGTACTAAGGTTTATAACAGAGAGATTTATCTCTTTTCTGGTGGCGTCTACTTGATTCCCTAACCACCATTAGTCCCTGTTTAGCTACAAAACTATTTGGTTCTACTACACCCTCTGTACCATCTATAGTGCCATTTACATAACCCCTGAAGTGACACTCTGAGTTAGCTGGCACAGAGACAGTTTTACACACCCTAACATGGGCACACACATTTCAGTAGCTAGATTGACACACTGACCCTCTAACTGAAGAGTCTTGTCCCTAAAATGGATTTCTCCTCCATGTTTTTCGGGAAATCTACACCTAGAATTCCGGACAACTGGTCCAACCTAGCCACCATAGCCTCCTGTTCATAAAATTGACTTACCAGGAACTGATAACTTGTCACCTGAGGCTGAGAACAGCACAATTCCATTGCTTGTTAACTCTGGCAGCATATGTCCTCTTGCTATACTTGTAGTAGGGACAGACCAAGTATATAATGACCCATTACTCCCAGTAAACACACATGAATCATGTCCATTTGCCATTAATTCAACTTCAAATTTTACAAATATTATCACACAAAAATTTCAAAAATGCCCAAAACGGGTTGCCAAGATCCTGGTCACGACACCAATGTAAAAGGATCTGTTTTTCACTTCAAAACCAACACCCAGGTTTGATGATCTTGGGTCCATCAGGGTCTTACAGTCTGATATGATTTTGATATGAAGTTTGGCAAATAAACACAGACGCCGAAATATAAAATTCAGGTAGTTTATTAATGACATGGAAATATCTACGCACCGGGACATGAGTTTAGACCACGCTGTCACACACTCGAGCACACAAACACCTCAATAACATGGCTTTATTTCCAAGTGGTACAAGGCCTAACTGAATATATATACTGACGGCTACACGGCCAT